TTAGCCCTTTGTCCCTACTGGTACCCTAGACTTTTACGTGACTTTGTATACATGAAACAATTGCCCTTTGTCCTTCTGGTCCCAGCTTTTCGTGATTATGTCATACATGAAACAATTGCCCTTTGTCCTCTGGCCCAGCTTTTCGTGATTATGCATACATGAAACAATTGCCCTTTGTCCTCTGGCCCAGCTTTTCGTGATTATGCATACATGAAACAATTGCTCTTTGTCCTCTGGCTCAGCTTTTCGTGATTGTTGCTACGCAACGGGTTACGTATACTACAACGTTCCCAGCCATGTATCTAGAAATATCCTGCACATGCATATATTGAATTCGTTGCATTGCTCTTACGTGTCACGGGCAGTCTTCTTTCATCCATATAGGTTTATTACCCGCTAATATATATTATTGTATTCTTTACATTAGGACACGATACCTTATCCTCTGGCTCAGCTTTTCGTGATTGTTGCTACGCAACGGGTTACGTATACTACAACGTTCCCAGCCAGATATCTAGAAATATCCTGCACATGCTTATATTGAATTCGTTGCATTGCACTTACGTGTCACAGGCAGTCTTCTATCATCCATATAAGTTTATTACCCGCTAATATATATTATTGTATTCTTTACATCAGGACACGATACCTTCATCCTGATGCCCACAGGAGGGGGGAAAAGTCTGTGCTACCAGTTGCCTGCAGTGGCCAGTAAAGGGGTAAGTATCGTGTTTTCAATTTAGCTTGGTCCCTGTCTGACACTACAATGGCATACCCATCTACAAGCTCACATACTAATCTGCAGAGCAAAATTGGCCTATGCAGTGTTATCTTCGTCTTTAAAGCTGACCTTAGGTGATGATTGACGTAGTAAATCTTGCAAATCGTTTTGATTTGCTAATCAGGTCACGGTTGTGATCTCGCCTCTGTTGTCGCTGATCCAAGATCAAGTTTCCGCGCTGGTGACTAATAATATCAAAGCCTACCATATCGGGGCTAACAGCAACGAGGAAAAGGTATGTCGTGCAACCGCCTGCATCTCGGACAATATTGTGAATTCTGTTAGGATGCAAATACTTTCAACTACAACACAAAGTGTCAGCTATTGATCAGAGACTAACTCCAACGCTTACGTTTGTACTATCACAAACAGATATACGTACATCTGCGACAGCCTGACTGCAGTGGAATTAAGTTAATATACGTCACTCCAGAAAAGGTATGTTCGCATTGGCTAATATAAACGCTGTGCTACCCTTGGCGGCTTCTCAAAAATCTCAGTCGCGAGGACGGCATTGTGGAATCGAATTGAATCGTGTCGAAAAATGTATTGCGACACGTCTGTGAGTTTACCTGCACATGGGCTCCCAGTCGTAACTTTCACTGTCGACTCTCGTTTGAATTATTCTGTTGTCTACAATTTTAGTGCGTGAGAAGTCAGAAAACGATGAGGACCTTCGAATATCTATATGCAAACGGTCTCCTAGCACGAGTGGTTATCGATGAGGCTCACTGTGTGAGTCAATGGGGCCATGACTTCAGGTGTGTTTGGACTTCGAGTGGATTATCTCGGTCTTGCAACCAACCAGATTGTAGCTTTGGTATTAAAATATGAGTTGTTCTTGGCGAGGTCCTCATACAACAATGCCCTACTCGTATACACAGGCCGGACTACAAAGAGCTTCGTATGTTCAAGAACAAGTTTCCCAAGGTGCCGATCATGGTATGTGAAAAATTAAGGCAGGTAATTATTTCTACCTATTTGAACTGTCATTCAATATCTGCTCATCTGGTCTTTGTCCACAGAACTGAAAAGTCAATTGAAATCCTTTATTACGTACCTTGTCTGCATCGTAGTGCAAACATGTATCTGTTAGATATCTAGAACCATATTGTATGCTTAAAGCACGGCCTGTCTCGACTAAAAAGAACTCTCATTGAATCATAGGCGCTCACGGCGACTGCCACTGAGAGAGTGAAGAGGGATGTAGTGCATCAACTCAATCTGCGCAAAGATTACGTTCTGTTGCAACAGAGTTTCAACCGTCCGAATTTGCGATATTTCGTAACCAAAAAAACCAAGTAAGCATACTATATATTTTATGTCTAAATGATTTCGTTTTAATTCTTGAACTCTTGCTCGGGTTGTACAATATAATTGCGCATGATCGTGCTACAGCCATGAATATTTATTGTGCGATTCTACATTCATATACAACAGGAAAAGCATCGATGAAATCATACAGAATATCAAAAAAAAATATAAAGGGAAATGTGGGATTATATATTGTTACTCGCGTAATGACACCGAGAATACTGCCAGGGTTTTGCAAAACGAAGGAATCAGCGCAGCACACTACCACGCAGGTTTATCAGCAGAGGCAAGTAAAAACTGTAAATTACCATCAAATGTCGTCTGCAAATTGGTATTTTCAACTAACTATCTTTGCCAGGTTTATGTGCGTAAGAGTTCGCATATTTTTGTTTGGTATACCAGATACCGTGTGAGCGTCTTTTTTTTTCATGCGTCGCGTATGAACTCCACACTTGCAAGGGCTCGGAGGGTTTTGTGCTGTCGGTACTGGAAACTAACGCTATTTGTGTTTATCAAAATATTTTTAGGACCGTTTCCAAGTTCAGCTGAGTTGGCAGCAGGGCAGGACCAAAATTATCTGCGCCACTATTGGTATGCGCTTGCCACTGATATGGAGGATGGTCTTTTCATTTGTTCACTACCGGTATGAATGTATTTCTCCCTCCTTCTTCACTTCGCGATAACAACACTCACTCAAACCATACGATTTCTCAACTTCTTGCCTCAGCATTCGGTATGGGTATCGACAAGCCAAATGTACGGTTTGTAGTACATTACTCGATTCCCAACTCGATTGAAGGGTATTATCAAGAAAGCGGCCGTGGAGGCCGAGATGGAATGCCCGTAAGTCATATTTTAATTTGTCTCGGGAGGCTGGAGAGTGTGTATGCGGGTTCCAAGCTATTTATACTACCCTTACGATATGATATGGCTTTGATCGAAATCACTCTTTTTTCCTCTAGGCGGACTGCATACTTTACTTCAGTTACGGCGATAAAGCAAAAATGGAGGCCATGTTTCAGAAAGATAAAACACTGAACGGTACTCAACTGCAGGCAAAGATGGACCAACTGCGTGGCGTTGTAATGTACTGCGAAAATAATGTGAGTTCTGGCATCTGAGCAAGAGTCCTCCCCTTCCATTCCTCATTTGTACTATCAACATCCCGTGGCCCCGTTGTACCCCTCTAGCGTGATTTTATATGATAGTGCTGGATTTTTTGGTAAACACAGTGGCACGTGTAAGCTTGATCCATGCACGAATTCATGTTTACGTCAATTAGTTGAACCCGGACAAAATGCACGTTTAATCCACTACTACTCTTTTCTCCAACATGTTTTTCACAATATATATATGCTTCCGCTGTGTAGGTGGAGTGTCGCCGATTTCTGACGCTAGGCTATTTTGGCGACAAATTTGATCCAAAAGACTGTAGGAAGACATGCGACAACTGCATGAGCGGCCAGCAGTACAAGTAAGGGCAGTCGAACTATGTCACCATGTTAAATACACGATAGTGTTGCTTTCGAGGAGTGTTCAGGATTCGGATTACAGTTTTTAATGTTGCAATACTTTGTTGGTCGTGAGCTATCTATTGATCTATATGAACTATATCTTGCATCGAGCTACGTCTGACTGGATTGATTCTGTTTTGAATATTCTATTAGGAAAGAAGATTTCACCGAAATGAGTAAAAAATTTGTTCGATGCGTTCAAGAAGTGCAAGGCAACGAAACGCTTCTGGTATGTTCGTCAATCATAGTTGTTATGGTACAATGAGCCAAATGAGCCAGCGTAGCTTTGTTTTCGAATGGTCATGATTTTACCTGCCGTGACAGTTGTTTAGGATGTAAGTCATTTTCTTTTTATCTCTATCTCCTATTTGTGGTGCAACTGCATTTGTATTCTGAGAGCTACTGATGCTCAGGAATTTCGTATGTATCGCATGTACAGTCCTTTCTGGATATTCTTCGTGGATCAAGGTGTAGAAAGGTCATGCAGGCTGGATACGACCAACTTAAGACCTACAACTGTGCACAGAGCATATCCAAAGTCGACTGCGAAAGACTGCTCCATCATCTGGTAAGAATGATCTGAGAATTCGCAACGGCTTGATTGAGTTAGTCCCGGAGCCCATCAATTTCGAAGAAAGCAAGAAATTTTGAAATTCGGTGCATGCACTTTTTTCCTCGACCTGACTGAATGAACTATTATCAGTGTATAATATCATCATCTCGTTCTCACAGGTTATGAAGGATTTCTTATTCGAGTCGATCAATATAAACAGATATCATCAGAGTGTTGTGACTTATCTCAAGCTTGGGAAGATGGCGTCAAGCCTTTTGGCAGGCAAAGCCAAAGTGATATTGGATGTTGTAGATTCACAGGTAAGCTGACCACCTGTGCCACACTGCATGTTTCTCGACTTGCTGTAGTCATTTCAAAGTAGGTGTATCTCTATTTGTAGGTTAATTCTGGTTGCTTTCAGTTTTGACTTTCAACGTACTAATACACATCTTGATTTTTTACAGGCTAGCACACGAGATAAGCTTAACATAGTATCAGACGCCGGGGAGTATGATTCGTTCTCCGCTATCCAGAAGACACTTTGGAAAGGTACGTTACTCCTCTGTAGGCTTGGGAGAATTTTTTGCTATCGAATCCGAACTTATATTCTGTATTTATCACCAATGCATGGAGCTTGTAGCAGTGCGTCCTGACTCTCTGCAGACGACAGTCCTCGACGTTGTGCTAAAATGAGTTGACTACACTCGAATATATCGTACACTGGTTTCTTTTGTCCCCCTATTGATTATGAGCAAATGAGGGTTGTTCTAACGAACTGTGTATATATTTGAATACTTTGCAGAACTCAATGGAGTGCGAATGGATCTAGCTTCAAAGCACGGAACTACTCAGCAGGCCATTCTGACCGAACCTGCTCTGCTAGAATTCGTCAAACTAATGCCACGCACTGTTGAGGAAACTACAAAAGTCACTGGATTCACGAAAGTGTTGGCGGGTAAATTTGGTGAGTTCAATTTGCACGCGTCAGCTGACAGTCCAAGTGTCCGCTACGCGGTAGTACTGTCATGATTATCTGATCGGTCCGAGTTTTTAACGAGACATGTATGAAACTCAGGTGTTACTTCCCTTTTTAAATCTCATGCTAGCTCGTTTTACACTTGAACCCTACAGGTCAAGTGTTGATAGACAAGGTTCTGGAAGTCATACCTATCACGGAAATCTCTTTACCAGCAGCTCTCAGTGGAAATTCAACTACATCTCGACACTTGAAAAGGAGGTAATCCCAATTACCAATTGCGCTTAGCTTTTGTTTGGAAGTTCTGGGAAATGACATGTTTTGGCAATCGCAAAGTGTATGAAGCTAACTTTAAAATCCCTATCGATTTTTTCAATGCGCAGATCACCGGATGAAGACAACTTCGAGCAACCTGGTCAAACCAGTTCCACGATCAACTCTTCTCGTCCCAAACGTTGGCGCCCTGATTCAGGTACATATTGTCGCCCTCGAAACCTTTTTATTTTATTTTTGGTGGCAAGCAGCTTTGGTCAATTGTAGGTTTAAGTGCAATCGCGTCTTGACTTGCTACCGATCGTTCAACGCTCGGCACAACCCCTACCCTCATTAAGCCAACTAAAAGTATAAGACTAGTACTATTAGAGGCGTTTTTGCTTGCTTAGACTACGAGTGGCTTAGTATACAAATGTTATCGCAACTGTTGTGGACATTTGTCTGAACTCACATCGTGTAGTGCTGTCTATGAGAGACACTTCACCTCGCCAGTCACCAGCTCGGATTATTATTTCTATAGAGTAAGTTAGTTCTGTATACTTGTATTTCTCACTTGGGGTCGCCCATTCGAACGCAATCAGGAGCTCAAAGTAGTTCCGGTTACGCCAGCAGTATCAATAGAGCCGCCAATAATAATTTTGGGAAACGTAATCAAGCCCAAAATACACACAACGAATCGAGAAACAATCAAAACCAACGAGCGAACAATAATTCTAAAGGTGCCGTAGGTGGATCAGGATCGAACAATAAATCTGGGCCAAATACGGGTGCACGTTCGAATCAAACGAGTGCGTCGGGCAAGAATGATAACCTGGCGGTATACAAGGTGAGCGTGATGTTTGTTTGTTTGTTTTAGTATGCTATTATATACGAGGCACGATTCAGGATACAGTTCAGGATACAGTGGTTCTGCCACTAGCGATTGAGAGTGCCCCACCACAATCCACCCATTTCTAGAACGCGCGCGTACATTTTGTTCGTGGATATGGTTTTTCGGCCATTGCGAGCGGCAAGGGAGATACAATTCGATACTGACGGCATAACGCCCTATTTCATTCTCGTCCGCATAGCAACCCGCGAAATCAGGTGCGAGCAATGGGATCACGCTAATGGTCCCTGGCTCGAGCAAACACAAACTGTTCCGACCTGCCGGCTGAGTACGTGGCTTGGGCTCTTCTTACCAGCAATACAGTAAACATTCAAAAGCGCTGGCGATAAATTTCCTATCAGTGTGGCTATAAAAATACCCGCGCCTCCCGCCAAATCACGTGCGGTTGATACAGTTTCTCTTAAAATACCGTGCTCGGACTTGCTTCCTTCATCTGGAGTTTAAATGGCGAGATCAAGCACCAGGTGTACTCGTGACCTACGACAGCTCCTTGTACGATTCGTTTCTATGAAGACAGACGTGCACCTGCAGTAAACTCCGTGCAGTACTAGGCAGTCGGCGATCCTTCCACCGGAAGTTTTAATCATTTTCCAACATCAACAATAGCTTTAAATAGGGCACTCCTGGTTGCTATCATAGTAAGATGGAGTATCTCTGCTGCTTTTGTGGATCGAAATCGATGATCTCTTCGACTGCAGGCTATCGCTTATCCGTACCTGGTCTAAGTGTATTCCGGTAGGCGATTGGAAGGGTAGACTTGTGCAACCCAATAGACACATGAAGCAAGTACAATCGCGATAACCTGAAGGACTATGGTTATAATGTATATCGGAATGCGTCGTGTATTCAGTCGAGGGCTACCATCATCGAGCGTATTCAGCTCTGCGTGGCTACACTCACCTTTGATTTCAGGTGTTTTGACAAATAAAAGATCGACATAGTATGCAATATATCAGGCAGCGAGCCCCAAGTGATCCGAATAAAATATTCCTCAATAAGAAATTCTAAAGTATTCTAGGCCTTGAACAGCTCGAAACTTGGATTCGGTACATTTGTGCCCAAGCATCCATTCACGTGCGGCAACATCAAAATCAATTGTTGCATAGGAAGCCCTATCACTGCCGTCTCGGTCCAATACATTCTAGACTCTCTGATACAATTTGTTTCTGTTTGTAGTAGAAATACACGTCAGGCCGAATAGACGTTGCCTTGACTAGTGCTGCAACCCATACTTAAACGTGTGTAAGTATGTAAAATTTCTTCTTGTTGTACACAGACAATAGCCTCCCGTTCTTTTTACAGGTTGTTAAGCACGGGCCTCCGGGAATCCATAATACTGGTAAAACCCTATAACTCTACAACTATTGAATGCTCCAATAGCTTCTTTTACAAAAAATGATTAGAGAGGGGTATACTGTCTACATATGAAGAAACAGTATTTATTATATTTATATATTCATATTTACATTGCCGGCATATAGTGCTTTTTTCAGTCTGCCTGTAAGTGTAATAGTGTATTGGAGCAGGATTAGCCGATGCTTCAATTACACTTCGACACTCCAACCGGTGTCATAGACGGGTGCACATTGACCACGTTGTAGATTTTCTTGTTCTAGGATGCGGTTTGCAATTACCGGGCGTGGATGGCCGCGGTGTCTCTATCAGAGCGTACAATTGTAAGTTAAATACTCGCGATGCATTGTGATTATTAATACGGATAGAAACACGCTCAGGTCGGTCTAAGTATTGTAAACCCTCTCTCGAGTATCAAATATCAATAAATTGACTTTTATAATAGCATAGCTGAGTCTGTTTATTTGCCACTCGCTATGACTGGAACTGAAAAAGATACAAAGGGTTTGCCCACAGAGTCCCTATTGTATTTTGCACTTTACCGCGCAGGAGGAGGAACAGCACATTGAGACGAAACTCTTCAAAAGCGGGTAGAAGCAAGAGTGGTTCGAATTCTAAAGATGCCGTCGACAATGTTGAGTCAATGTCTTTTCCACAAGCTCTGAAGATAGGTGAAGAGAAGTTTCCGTTTAGTAAGGCGATAAAACAGGTAAGCTTCCAATATTAGGCTCGGTCAAATGGAGAGACTTGCTCACAGCCCTTTTTCCAGATTTTAAAACTTAGTCCACTCTGCGTTGATTACTCTTCAACATTTTAGTGACTGTTACTGTATGTATCTAAATAGAGATGCTACGATTGACAATTTTGTCTGGAGTAGCTGATTCAGTCCGAAATCGTATCCTGGTCGTAATTTACAGAAATTGCATCATGTCTTCGGATTGGAGTCCTTTCGCAAACATCAGTTGCTGGCCACGAACGCAACCATGTTAGGTGAGTGAAGCTAATGTAGCGGTCAGCCACACTAATATATGGACTGTATTTATATCGCGATCTGTAATATTGTGTGTTTTGTGCAAGTGAATTCTTACTTGCACAGAATAGACTGTGAATTTCGATGAGCGCACACGAAGATTACAGTATTAGGGGTGACGTCGGGACTATAACTTGTGATTCCGATTCCTGGAATTAACACAAATCCGGAAAAAAAACTTCTAACATCCAATTTACCAATTTACTCGTGTATCTCTTATTGTATATATAGGACACGATACCTTCATCCTAATGCCTACGGGTGGAGGAAAAAGTCTTTGCTATCAACTACCCGCAATTGTCAGTAAAGGGGTATGTATCGAAGTCTCAGCGACTACTTTCTGCATTGATTACTTTCGAGATAATTTGAGGAAAGCGAACGTGTGGTATTGTATGAAGTGTGATGTCCGTTTATTTTGAAATTGCTTTTATTATTAATCGTCTAAACACAACTTCATTTATGGTAACAATCTTTTCCAGGTCACGGTGGTGATATCCCCGCTTCTGTCTTTGATCCAGGATCAGGTTTCCGCATTGTTAGCGAAAAATATCAGTGCTTGTCATATCACAGCCGATGAAGATGCAGCAACGGTTTGTACGGCCACGTATCACGTGCTTGATTGTTTAAGTTTGAGTGTTGAATTGGTGCTATAAATTACGCTTCAAAATTGGACTATATACCATTGTGTTAAATTATGCAAATAATTTATCCTTTCACAATCCATAGATATATACGCGACTACGGAAACCGGAGTGTGATGGAATAAAACTCGTATACATCACACCAGAAAAGGTTTGTGAGCACTGTCGGATGATGTTATGATCAGCGTGATTGTCCGAATAAGTTCAGTTTAGTGCGGCTCAAAGGTTTCTGCAGATTCACCTACTGATTGATCGCTAGTCCACACTATTCCTCGCCAACCAATTATCTCGCGGAATATTCTTAGTGCGTTCAAAGTGCCGAAACACGTCAAACTCTGGAATTTCTTAATGCACACGGTTTGCTAGCAAGAGTGATCATTGATGAGGCGCACTGCGTGAGTCAATGGGGCCACGATTTCAGGTATCTTCGAGTTTAGCTCTCCTCGATGTCTTGACTACACTGTATTTGCTGAAGTTCTCGGACTATAGATCCATACTCATCTGCGAAGTACACTATGTGATTTACAAGTTTTTGCTGACCATTTAGGCCGGACTACAAAGAGCTTGGATTCTTCAAAGACAAGTTTCCCAAGGTACCTATCATGGTAAGTGAAAAGTTATGAGGCATTCATAATCTGACCCTTTCCGCTGCCAGCAGCTTTGATCGCTATGTCTACTTGAACGGCTATCTTATTGTCAATATTTACATTTATTATCTCTACTTACGGCACCTTGTTTGCAAATTGTGCTACCGCTTGACCTTCAGAATGTGTGAAAAACCTCTTGTCTCGTCTCATACTGATCTGAACATCGCTATCACTACGATACAGGCACTCACGGCAACGGCCACGCGTAGGGTTACATTCGATGTGGCGCGTCAGCTAAACCTGAACAAAAACTATGTAATGCTAAAACAAGGATTCAATCGGCCGAATCTGCATTACACAGTGACGCGCAAAAGTGGGTGAGTTACATCACTATTCCTATTTTCAGGCCGCCAAAACTTTTGCCGCTCTCCTTACTATGACAAATCGATCGCGGTTTTGGGCTTATGTCTACATACATATATATAGCGAGACTGGCGCTTTCAACAAAACCTACACTTTTTTTTTCAAGAGAGAGCATCAACGAAATAGCTCGGAATATCAATTCGAAGTACGATGGCCAGTGTGGAATTATTTACTGTTTCTCTCGGAATGATACTGAGAGAACTGCCCAGATTTTGCAGGATAAGAATATCAGCGCTGCACATTACCATGCTGGCATGTCACCGAAGGCAAGTGTATTTGTATGCCTGTGTATCCCGTCCCAAAGAGCTCGCAGTAGAAGTTATAAATCTGAATTCTGTTCCGATATATCCACTGGGATGGTCATAATCTTTGGCACGACTGTGTTGAGTTGTCTGCAACGCGCTGTCGATCGCATGCAGTTTGTGAATCGATTATACGCCTTGGCCGTCACACCTGATTTCTATTCCTGCTGTCTAACACAGGATCGGCGCCAAATTCAAGATGATTGGTATCAGGGCAGTACCAAAATTATTTGCGCCACCATAGGTAAGCTTTCGTGTCAAGACTTGCTTGAGCGGACTTTCATTCATCTGAAATATTTCACGTTCTGACTCTGATTTTGATCGTGGGTGGTCCGACACTGACACATACATTAACGTTATGCTTCTAGCCTTCGGTATGGGCATCGATAAGCCGGACGTACGATTTGTCATACACTACACCATGCCTAACTCGATCGAAGGATACTATCAAGAAAGTGGGCGCGCAGGCAGAGACGGTTTGCCAGTAAGTACAGACATCAGTAATTATCGAGATGATTGTGCCGTTTACTAGTCAAATCATCGAGACCAATGGAATCATATCAATTGCAGGCAGCTTGCAACTTTGCTCAAGAGGTGCGTTTGTACAGCATGGCTGCCAACAGGCTCTTGCAGAGCAGATTATGCATATGATGGGCGACCACTACTCGCAATAATCACCTATGCTTGATACCAGCCAGATGGTTATTTGACTCATCCGACACTTTATTGCTCAGGCAGATTGCATCCTATATTACAGTTACAACGACAAAACCAAGCTGGAGGCAATGATAGAACGCAGTGAGACACTGGGAAGATCGCAGCAGTTTGCAAAGAAAGACCAGTTGCGAGAAGTGGTGAAGTACTGCGAGAATGTAGTATGTGGATAGAACCTTTACAAAACGCGTACGCCCTAGTCAAGAGTCGTTTGTGCATCCGTTCAACTGCCTATAATATGTTCTGTGCAGTTGAATTGAAGAAGAAGAAAATATATATTCGGGCTACTGTGATACAGGGCTATCCACTGATGTATCTGCTCTACCAAACCTTGTTATTTTATGATGAGATAGCTTGTTAAATTGTACGCCAATCTCAATGTTCTATTAATGTCAGTTAGACGTCGAAGTAGTTGCACTTGTGTTCAACCAATGCCAACAACATCAGCCATCATTGAGCACGCCTTGAATGCCGTTTCAAGCAGTCATATGAACCCACCCTGAAAATGCACGCGTTACCGCTGTGCAGGTGAAGTGTCGCCGGCTACTCGCTCTGAGTTATTTCGGCGATAACTTCAATTCGAAGGACTGTGGGAATTCATGTGATAATTGTATAAATGAACGGCTGCACAAGTAAGTAAGCTTAATACTATGGTAGTATGTCCACTCGTTGTGTACCACTTCTGTCTTTTTATTTAGCTTAGTTTTTTTTATCAAATGTACTATTCAGGACCCGCGTGAATACATTTTCTCGTGAAAGTGTGTTATTTATCTGTTTCACTACGCCTTGAGCACAATGTTTATAAATGTGGTGATACGCTATCGTGAGAGTGCTGCTATAGTAGTACTTGTTGCCAATTGGTCGCCAACTTTGATAGCGCAAATTCTACGCTTTGAATTACGGGGACATGTTGACACTGAACATTAAAATGAACAGTTCCCAGACTCAGCTGACACCACTTTAGCGGTGCAATAATCTAGTTGCTAACAAACTCCAGTGTAGAGATCGGTACAGGGTGCATAGCAACTTTATATAAAATTGAAATATCAATTCCACTATTTTGGTCTTGACTGTGCTGTTGCTCAATTTGGGTATCGAACGGTTCGTGAAGAAAGGAAGATCTAACTAATCTCAGCAAGCAGTTCGTTCAATGCGTTAAGGATGTGAAGTACCTGGACGTCACACTCTTGGTATGTAAATTTAGTTTCAGAAATGTCGCTCTCGCAGCATCTGCAAATCAGACTTTTTGTTGTCAACCCCACCAAATGGCTTCCTTTGGACTATTTGATTGATACCTACCTATCCAATACAGGTTCAAATCAGTCAATCGTGTAAATGTACTTCTCATTTTATTTTGCTTTAACAGGCGTTTAGAGACATTCTTCGCGGGTCCCAAAGCCAAAGTGTACGTGGCTTTGGACGTAACAAGCTTCAATCACATGGCTGTGCTAAGGGTGTGTCGAAGGAAAACTGCGAACGACTGCTTCGTCATTTGGTAATCATTTCAGATTCTGATTTCACCCAAAGGTTCACAGGTGTTGTAGTTGTTAAACTTGAGGTGTCATCGTGTTTAAACCAGATAACGGTTTCCACGCGGCCAATGGCTGATCTTACATACGGGAGCCTTCATTATAAAAGCAGTGATCTGAAGCAATGTGTCCAATTCAATTTTTGCCTTCTGAGAACCTACAATTTGTGTGTATTGAATACAGTTATCTTCACATGCTTTTTTATTGCGACCAGATTATGGAAGGGTTTCTTCGCGAGAGAACAGTGGTACACTTTCAGGGGAATATCGCATGTTATCTTAAGTTGGGCGAGAGAGCCTCTAGCTTACTAGAGGGCAAAGCGAACGTGCTACTAGATTTGATGGATCCTAAGGTATCGATTGAGCCGTAGCGTGCTGGAGTTTGTTGAGAAGTAGTGCCGTGTAGTTCCTAATTGAGTTATCTTCGTGTTGATAATAGGCTTCGCACACCTACGCCTATCGCGATTGTTTATGTCTCCTTTACCAGGTGCTCCTGTGGGAGATCATCGTTACATAATGTTGAGTGACATGTATCATAGACTTTTCTTCTTTAATTTGTCACTGGCTTTTCTATTACCTAGTGCATAATGTGGTGCCATCTGTTAACTACCCAGATGTAATCAATATACATTCAATCTCAGTCTATCCTTTCTTATAATAGGCCTTCGCGAAGGCGAGATTATTGCCAGATACGGAAAGTTCTCAGGTGAAGAAAGTGGGGAAAGGTAAGACATGGGACATATGTATGGTGCCCATCTATATGCGATAAACTTGAAAAGTGTTGTTGGATTGTGGTATTCTGTTGTCGAACTTTGATAAGTACTACTAAGACCCTTTAATATCTAATCTGAACCTCAAAAAAAAAGTGAGTCTTGGTCATGTGGTAGCATTTGTTGGGTGCCCGTAAGACGCTCATAGAAGTCAATCATTTCTCAGTTATAACATGTCACATATTAGATGAATTTGATTTGGACGCCATGCAAGAATATCTGGACTGAAGACCCGGCATCAGACTGTGCCCATTCATTGAGAAGCATCCCGAGTCTCATACTTACATATCAACTTTTCTTGTTTCAGGAAGTAAATCAACGCCAAGATACGCTGGCAACCAAACATTCGCCGTCAAGCACGCCAAAAACCATCCCACTTCATCCTCAGACAAATCATCAAAATCATTTCGCTCCAGCTATGCCGATGGAGCTAAGAAGTATGTTGCCTTATCTCATCCTGCTCCGCTTACAGCAAAAAGTAAATCATCCAGCTATACGAGCTATCTAAAGAAAGCATCCAACTACTATTCTATACCTAAGCCCGGTCCTCCCTCAAACGAAACAGCAACGCCGAAGTATGCCAGGTATATCAAAAGCGCAGCCAGTCACAGAGTAAAACCTCAGCCTGGCTGACTTTAATATTCAACAGCAGTACCAGGGTACACTAACCTTACATCAATAGCCACTGGCAGAATATATTATTTAGGTCGCACCTCAAAACATCATTTATTCCAAACTACACGATCGAAACTGAAATTCTTGCAAGACCGTCATCTCTAGCATCACAAATATTAGACCTTACCTGCGATGAGTGACCTATATATACGCTATTTAAATAGCTGGCAGCTGCGAAAGTATCGCTTCGTATGTCCAGGTTCATATACTTTGCACAGCTGTGGTGAGCTATATCATACACAGTTTATTTCCCAATAATGAGTGTATCCCACCTTTTTGGCCACTGTGCCAGTTTTGACAAGTCTTCGATCACCAACACTTGTTTTTTCGCTAGTTGAATACCAGCATTTTACGAAAAACAATCCAGCTGAAACGTTTCTGCATTAAAACAAATCTTCTCGACCACCCGTTGTCACAGTTCAATGAAAGAAAAAGGAGTAAACTGATTAGATGCAGCTATTAGCATGTAACCCCTTTTTACACTGCTATTTACACGAGCTGTACAGAACTGATTAAGGTTGCTATCTTGTACCAAATAAATATATACTCTTAAATTTTACACGATCAAGCAATCGGTGGACTAAATTACTGGTTATTTCAGAAATGGGCTTTTACAAAGCACAGACATCGCCGTATTTTTTTCTCAGACAATCAGCCCTAATGGGAAGGTTATTGTCACGAACCAATCAAAAGCAGGTTGAGTCAATACTGTGGTGTAAATAGAATGTTTCTTGGGCCGTGCTAATTGTGCATGTATTTTAGTACAAGTATAGCATTTCACTGATGTTTGACGAATAAATCTAAATTTGAAAGTTGTGATACTTTTGACGACGAATTAGCGGCTTTGTTGTTCCGCATAGCATATTCACTACTTTAGTCCGTCTATGATGTGCATCGCTTTTGAAATATCTTGTCGTATGCGCCCCCCGGGTCGGTGTATTTTCGATCAAAATCGGCGGTTTATCTCCATGTTTGTTTTAGCCAAATATAGTCAAAGGACAAAAATATCCCAAAATCATAATACCACGTACTTTTTCAAGAGTTATTATTGACGAAGAGCGTTGGTAGATTTTCTTACTGGCAGTCAGTGCATATCTATTGTGTAAAATTTCGGGTTAGACTGACTAACCTTCGACCAAAATCTATCCCATTCTAATTTATACAATACAATACTTGTTGAAAGGTCTCCAGCTTCAGTAAATACCTGATTTTTCTGACACACACCACGTGTCTACACTATGTTCAAATTTATGCGCACTTCAAACCGGAAGTATTTTTTTATGCTGAGCCAAGCCACTAGAACGTTCCGTAAGGGCTGACTTATTTCAAATAAGGTGAGATGTTGCGGTTGTTAATTAAGATTCGGCACAACAGACAAGTGCACATCAAAGAGCTTGATAAGTCTTTTACTTTGTCCGATAATCACTGCATTAGTTCCGCATGAGTTTTATCTCTGTATTCTAGGTAGTTTGTGGCATCCGACAACTTTTATGCACACGAGCAAGGGTTTGTCCTTCAGATCGTCATCGTAGCTCGCTATCTTCGCTTTCTGCAATGCATAAAGACATCCGACAATACAGCAGTGTAGAACCATTCGACTTAAACTGCGGCATCCCAGCCTCTCGACATCAATATATACTCTATGCATATGGCCATATAGCTCATCCCTTGTGACCTATTCAAGTACGGTGAATATATACTGGATCAAATTAGTGCCTCGTTACGGTTGACTATATAGTTGAGAAGGCTATATTATAGCTGTGGTAACGTTATTCATTCGACAAAATACTTTTTGGCACATGACCCTTCACGACCTCTTAGCGTACTTTTATTTGAACTCGTAATTAAAGCTGCTGCTGCAGCTGATACCCGCTCTCTTTTCGCTTATGAACCAACAGGGAAGGGGGGAGAGGGATTTGCACTTGCCAATTCGTAGTCTGCGCCCATGCAAAGCCATGGGAACGCGCAACCGCTATCACAGAACGCTTTCACTAGATTTTCCCCCAGTGGCAAAACAACTTGTCTTGCATTGTGTATCAATTATGCCAGAAGCAAAGACCATTTAAGGGGCGATTAAAAATTGTGCAAAATATACACTTCAAATCACAATGCACGTCTGCACTATCAATTAAACGAGACTTGATACCTACCCGACTTCCTATACCGATAAAATACCGCTCGCAATGTAAATATATCTTTACTGCAACCGTACCATATCCTAGCGTAGTAACTACACTAGTAAAATTAAGTGCCTACTGAATGCAAAAATGAAAAGTTATTTCCACTATTACTGTCGATTGCTATTCCGATCCACTCAAATGAGCGCGAGTGCCAGGGCATATCTAGGTTACATGCCGATGAGGCAGGAACGCAGAAAATAAATCGGACTACACTACTGTAAATGGTTACTTGATATCTGAAGACGTCTGTATTGCCTTGATTTCACCTATTAGAACGCATTACATACCAATATACGACACGTCTCTTGTCTCACATCATATTCGAATGTGCCAGTGCTAGCAGGCTATACCACATAGCAGACAGTCTGCCTTTGTTGATATGGTTGTCTCGCGTCTCAAGAATTCAACGTATACACTTTAGGAGCTCAGGAGTGATAAACATACACTTATTTGTAAACAGTGAACTCATCAGCAGCCGCCAATCTACCCATCTGATAAAATCAAATATTTATGTTGGAGGCTAACCCATATTCCTCATGCAGAGGCCGCTTACAGGTATATGGGGGCATTTGCCATATAATATTGCCTAAAACACGTCCCGTGTGTCCTCCCCATGGCACACTACCACACAGAGAATGCAAATATCAACAGGTAAGCTACATACGAAACTTCCATCAGCTTCTCCCTACTTCTTCATCAGTTCGGGGGACCATAAACTGAATGTGTTTTGGTTCATTCTCGCCGTCATAGGATTGTGAAAGTGCTTTGTTGCTGAATATAGTTTCGCATGTAGTTTGCATGTCCCGCTGCTCTGTGCATGTTTAGTTTTGTTCTGGTTAGTGGCCAACCCATCCTACGTTTTTCCCAGGATGATTTTTTAGTCCTTGAGTCGAAACTGTTACACCCAGTTTGTTGAATGTCTTGATTGCGAAAGCACATTTCAAGTGGTTCAAACGGCATTTTGCTCGGTTAAGTCTTTTGACAACCTCACGCACCCGTAAGACTTGGTATGAATGTGTCATACACATACACTTGTACTCCGTTGATGTATATGAGCAAAATTGTCATGACTCCTTAAAATTTTGTTGTCAGTGCATGTAAGCCAAAGGTTCTAATTTAATCGAGTATTTGAGCCCCTCTCCACGACAATATGAAGAAGTGTATGCTCTTTGCATTTACTAGGAAGTGGGGAAAGCCTCTCTTTGAATCTAGTTTGGAAATAAATTGGGTTTCTTCTAGGTTGTGGAGTAATCCTTCTATTTTTGGTAATACGAACCTATCTTGTTCATGTTGATAGTTGATCTCTCTTCAGTCTAGACATACATGCACTTTCTACAGTAAACCTGTTTGGTCGTATTCGCTTGTAGAGAGGTATAGCGCGAAGTTCTTTTATGTGGGTGTTGTTCGTTTATTTATGTGTCCATCTTTAATCCACTTTTGTACATTCTCATCGGTTTAATGTTTATTTTTGTATGGCATCTGTTTGATGTTGATTTCATTACTTGGTACCTTCACCGTACTCGCTGAAAAAATACATTGTGAGACCCCAACAAGAAAGCCTGGACGACTCTAACCGCAGAAGAGAAGAAGCCGGGACGAGTTCCGACCACATATATTAATAGATATCGAGCAAATTCATTAACATCTAATCACACCTAAGAAAGACTAAAGTGTCACATCTACATGGGAAAGAATCTTGGTTCGTTCTCACAATACCAAAAAAAAGAAAATTTAGCAACAAGTAGATACCTATGATTAAGAGACATTGCAGGAACAGACACACAGTAAAACACAATTGTCAAATGGGAAAGAACCCAGAAACAATAGTTTAGATATTGATACACATACAGGAAGTGAATAGTAACTGTCATAAGCAACACTCAAATCATATTCACATTGAAAGGGGTGCCTACACACAAAGCATACACACTCATGCGAAGTGATTCAAGAAGTGATATATTAATGGCTATAGAGCAGAAGAATGACCTGCAACATAAATTGATAGAAATTACACAGTAAATATTAAATACAAATGAAGTATATTAGCTCAGATTATCAGTCATCACATGCTTAGTACGTAAACGATTAAGAAGAGAGCACTTTACCGTAAATCAAGAAAAGTCAAACAACCCACAAACAATCACAATGCACACAGCATCAGATAGTGATTGAGAGAAGTTGAGAAGGCTTTGAATGAGACACACTAAAGATTAGACTGGAGAACAAATAATCATACCAAGTGCACAAAATAAAGATGAGAAACAATCAGTTATAATTAAAGGCACATAGACAACAAGTCCTACATCAATGGTCCTGTGCATGTACACAGAACAAATTTCATAAAATAAGTCCGATGAGACAGAACAAGTACGCTACCAGAGTATCACTAATAAGATATAATAATACAACAACACAAAATAGGAACAGGGTATTGCGCAAGAGCACAAGACATGTCTCACAATAACAAGACAATTGCATCCAAACATAATAAGATCCACACGTGGCTCGGGTGAATGTGCGTGTAAACTATTAGAAGGAATAGTTCCGACAATATACACAACTACTAAAACACAAGAGAGGTTTGGCACGCAAGAAATACTTGGTAAATGCGAACAAAAGTAAACAATGAATGTACCGCGCAACTAGTACAAGTACAAAGAATAGGTTTGCAATAGAGGATGAGTACAGTTCGGTACGGGATCGAACATCCTACGAGTCCGGTACAGGAGCGAACATCATATACGACCGAACATCACAGGTGACATCAATATCACAATAGTTCGGTACAGGACCGAACATTCATTGCGTCATCACCCGTGTCAATCAAGGCTGCGATCTCATGAGAAAATACATCCACCTAAGGCCACGTATGACAAAAGAAGATCATTATTATACATAATGAACAAGTCTAGCTATGTTCACGCGTGACGAATTAAGCTTACAAACAAACAACGAAAGCATATCCCCAATTACAGGAGATAACGCCACAAGCTGCCGATCAATACGAATAGGTAAACACTTTCCACGGAAGTGCAACAAAGCGTGCTAACAAAAGTAAGTAAGATAAATCAAATTTTAATTTCTTTTTACACAAGTTACCAGCAAAGACAAGGGGGATGAAGTGTTTATTCGGAAGAAATACAACACAAGTCATTACTATTAACTTGCAATACATACACCAACACAGACAACTCAAGATGCCAACAGCAACCTTGGCAGACGTGCATGGTGGAGATGGGGATGATACCAACATGCAGCTCATGAATAACAGCTTAGTGGGGAAACTAACCCCAGGTAGTAGCTTGAATCTATATACACATAATGAGGTAAGAATTCAGGCGTCAACAATGCGTTTAGAAATAAACAAGAGCATTCGTCATGGCAATCTCGTCCTGGTCAATAGATTCATCTCCGAGCTAGATCAGAACCTGTAGCTATCGCAAGCCACACAAGATGAGAGTAGGCATTCATGATCAGTAACCTGAATGTCGCATGCTCCGGGTAGACACAGACCTCAAAAAGAGATACGATCAAGCCATTAAAGCGTGTGATGACGACTAGAAGGATGAAATAATCCTAATTAGCCAATACATTGAGCTAGAGATCATGCGTTCACACTTAGGTGATAAGATAAATAAACCAGCGCTATTTAAATTACAAAAGACCGCTGAATTTCCGAAGTTATCGAGAGAAAGCTGTTACAAAATGGAAAATTGTGAAGACATTGTAGAGCTTACTACGCAATGCAAAGTGTTTTTAGCTAAGTCAATGTCATTATGTCAGTATCCAGCACTAGTAAGATGTCTATTAAATTTTACTGATGCAACTTAGAAGACCAAGGGGGTCCTCGATGAGTCACATGGTTCAGAGACGCAGAACACAAAGCACTACACTGATCCAGAACAAACAAATAGAATCATTATTGATAGACTCAGATATCACCCTGTAGACTATCTGTCAGAGAAGTTTCTCAATGACATGGAGAACAAGGCATTGAGCATGGAAGTACGCACAGAGCGTATGTATAGAACAATGCAAGTGCTAGAGGATCGATAAAGAAGCACAGACAAAGAGCCAATATAAGTACAACTCCTCAAGCATGTACTATGGACAGCAGGGCAAGGTAGACGCAATTAAAGCAACCAAACTGCCTGATGGAAGTGACGGTCACCTATCAGGTATGAGATGTGAAACAGAGTGTGTTTTACTCTCTTACAAAAGTATCCATACGAGCAGCAGCGAAGGTACATACAGACCGGTTGCTCAGAGAGTGTAAGAGATACCACTCGAATGCATATCAAGCAACGAACACGGCGGCACATAGCCAAACACTGAGTACTGTACCCCCAATCGACAAGCATCCCAAACCAGACAGTAGTATACCCAGACAGCTCAATGTAATGGGACAACCCGAAGAGAAAATGGAGCGCGCGGGGCACGTGCTCGTCCCTATTGCAAGGTGTCACCAGCCCCATATCGCTTTAGGCAATGTCCAATGAAGTTTGCAAATCAGACTAAGAAATCTGACGAGAGGGCCAAGAGTGACGTGCACTTGGCACTACTCTCATCTCCATCACCACAGGAGAAGTGGAAGAGCTAACCGATAACGACGAATCCTAAAACAACTGGTGGGCGAAGGTAAACATGATTGCATGATTGACTTGGCTTACAGATTAAAAGTAAATATAGCTAATGGCTAATTCAAAAAAAAATCTAACATCCCCACAATATTCGGCAATTGTGGAGGCTATTAGTGTTTTATGCTTGGCTACGTGCACGCCGAGATGATCGAATAGACGTAAGACTTCGTTCAATTCTGTTGCGCCTTCTTTTTCTGATATTGTGTTGTGTACTATCAGAAAATCATCTACATAACGTTGAAACCATATAGCAAGCTTCTCTAATAGAAAATCTACAGCGCAGGCCACTCTTTGATACAAGCAAGGTGTGGATGCTAGGCCGAACGGTAATGTAGCTTTAAAATAGTACAGACCGGCGAACATGTAACCGATCAACAGTACGTGCCAAGACCATATGGGTATAGTACGAAATGCTGACGATATGTCTACAACACTCATTCTCGTACCTATGGGTTGCTGTGCGATGTGATATATGGCTCTGGATAGTGTGGGATTACTGAACTTATCTGTAGCTGTGTGTTCGTTCACGAAATCTTCTCCGTACGATAGTGTTGTTTGCTGCCGGGTTTGAGGTCAGCCCAATTGGTGAAATTCAGCAAAAGCTTAGTTGGTCAACTTGCTCTTGTGTGTCTGGACCCAAAGTTCGACCCTTATTGCATTCGGTTTGTATCGCATACTTCACCACCTGTGGTTTGGCATTTGCTGAGGAGTGGGGTGGGTGTATGATAGTATCGCAAGGACCACTCTAGTCTATCTGTATGCTTTTAGATAATGTGTCGCACAACCACACCGTTTCCTGGTGCTCATACCCTTCCGTTTTCAAACAGTGCCTTAGATTATCGATGTTGATTGGTGTGAGTGCCACTGCATCGATACCTAGTATTTATGCACCTCACTTCCATCGCTTTGTGTCATACGTTGTAGTCTGTTGTCTGTGTTGATCGTCTTTCGGCGTAGACTACAGGTTTTATTATCTGTGCTGCTTGATCGTGATAGGACTCGTACTAGGTGGGATGTCATTAGCTGTGCCAAGTCATTTCCTAGCTGATTGTGTCTTATCTGGTCGCTCGTGCCTATGACCATCTGGGCATGGCTCTTCGCGTTTGTTGTTATTGAATGCGAAACAGATTTCGCCTTGCTTTTGTCGTTTGCATTCACAAATGCAGAAACTATGTAGTTGGAAATATTCAGCAAAGAGGGGGTCTGATATGCGATCCGTTGGGCTGGCGGTATTAATTTGTATAGTTGTCGGATGTATCACACTTAGAACTGTCTTAGAATCATATACTGGAATTGATCTGAGATGACGCTCGTCAATACGTGCTATTCTTGGTGCTGAATATAATTTACATTGCTCGCACACGGTTATCACCCAGTGGATCATATCTAAAATGGCGGATGGGTCTGATAGAATGTTTTGCGTGTAAATTAGTGTCGTTGCTACTGTTAACAGAGCCATGTGTTTAATGTCAATATGAGACGTGAATGTCTCCTTCTGTCGCTCTACCCTTACGCCTTGCAGAGTTAATTGAATATAATCTGTGCGTGTGGCATCTAGGCCTTCCCGTGCTACAGATTTCGTCTGTGTCAGAGAGAATAACTTACCATCTTCGAGTGCCCTACGATTTGACTCACTGACGTTCGGGATTACTAACTTCATGCGATATCTTTGGGTGTCCACACGACGTGTCGGTTGCATTCCGTTGACGTTCTCAGCTACCATGATGAGCTCCTTCTTCAAGCGCGAGCTGTCATCTTCTAGACGTTGCATTTTTTCTTCCATTCGACGGAGTTTCTTATCATTGATCTTATTCTGGTCCGCATTGAGTTCAGTTGGAACCTTGTTTGTGTTGGTGTTGAATGACGTATTGTGACCGCTCGGCTGATGTTCGTCAGTATTGTATGTATGAAAATAGCTCTGCCAGCCATTTTGGCTAGGTTGGTGCATTTCTGGTTGATACCAATTCCCCTAGCCGTTGTTGTTCCATGAGCTTGGTCCATATTGGCACCACCACGTATTGTATTCTTGTGCATGTCTTTTGTCGTCAGACAGATTCGTATAGTCGTGGTGGTTATTGTAAGTGCTAGAAGCAGGACTGGAATTGATTGATTCGTGAGGTATTTTATGGGGACCTAAACCGGTTGGGATATGATCGTCCCATCGTCTATTTGTGATCATATTAAGGGGTTTTTTTTATAATTATCTATTAGCTATTACTAACCCGCACAATGTTGATAATTGTGAGACTGATCATTTCTTGTCTTCGCGCACTACATATATATTATTTGTCGTGTCTCGGCTTTCCTTCTCCGGTTCGTCTCCAAGGAGATGTCTGAGGTATCGATCCTTACTATATATGTAGCCTCACTCTGATATTTGTGGGGCAGCCTGTAGTTCCGCCAATAAACGTACGCTAATATTACAATATATTCGAGAGCCGGACAATGGCTCAATCACACGGCATTCCATCCTCCTGTTTAACTATCTAAAACTCCACTTTTCTTCTACAAATGTGGATATAGATGAAGAACCGCTGTTAATAAAAGCAAAAAATATAAATTACCAACCTTTATCCTTGCTTCCCTGGCAATACATACAGGGCACTCGTAGACTTAAGCGCACAACGCTCATGTATGGACAAAAGTATAGTAATTGAACTATATCTATCAGTCAGAGCGCAACCAGGTTACATGCAATTAGCACAAACAGATGCGAGAATACAAAGAACAGGGTCAACCAAAGTATGAACCTATCAGACAAGAAAAACATTTCATTGTTTCGAAGTGCTGGACCTATCAGACAAGAAGACACCAATACTTCTAGGGAAGGACATCCTTCCATACATAGGGAATATATATAGCAGGATTAATAAATCCACTTATACGAACAGATACAAAATGGGAGTCACTACTCACTCCACATGAGGAAGACCCTGAGCACGAATAAGTAGGGTTCAGCAAGTCTCTTGCAGACCTCTTAGAAACCCCTACAAATATACCTCCCAGACGTACATTGCAACCTGTCAAGCTCCAAAGTCACTGTGCCTGCTAATAAAATCAATGTCAAACAAATGAGGCATGCCAAAGTAAGCTTCGTTCCACATAAGTACATTCCACAAACAAATGGAGATGTGAACTGGTGGTTTACATTCACAACGACGACGGTGTGTGAACTTACCATTGTTAAATACTAGGGAACATGACCAAACAGGCCTCCTCGAGAAAGTATGGTAAACTTACCGTTGTTATCTACAGGGGAATATGACCAAGCAGGCTTCCTCAAGAAAGTAAGAACATGTTTAGACTTACGCGAGATTAATTACCAATACAAGCAAGACAAAATTGTGCCATTCGGTCTGCACTCACTAACACAATTTCAGAAGGACATGGCAAACTTGCTCATAGACATTAAAAGAGTGCAAGTGTATGTGGATGACATAGTCAATGCAAGTCTCACAGAAGAAGAACATAGCAAAACAGTACTTGAAGTAATCAAACGATTGAACGGAGCAAAGTGGTCAACATTCTAGGGGTGAAAGTCACCACACAAGGACTCAAAGCTGATCTAGAAAAAAAGGAAAAAAAGGATGAACTGGCCACTACCCAGAAGAATAAAAGATCTGCACAGAGCGGTGGGACTATATATATAAATATATGTATATTTATGTATATATATATA